TTAGGAAAAGTAGTTATGTAAATGCTTGTTTGTTTAGTACTGATAATCAGTCGCCTAGAAAGCCAAAGTAGGTTCCAGATGTTTACACTATATTCCGGCCGCCATATTGGTGTACCACGGATGTACACCAACAAGGCGTTCTCTTACTGGGGTCTGTAAATTTCTGGGAAACATTTACGACGAATATCTGAAGTTTGGGGAAACACACAGGCGTAAAACTTGGAAAGCGTCTTCTATAGCGTACATCACAATTTCTTAGCTTTTTTCCATTGGTTGGTTTTCAATTTATAATTTTTTTTTTTATTGCGTGACAGTGAAAACGATCTGTACCCTTCGAAGAACAAAACAGCAACTGTAGAATATTTTTTTTGTAAAATGATAAAACATGTTTTTTCAGTTCATAATTTTTGTACATGTTCTCACCTTCCTCTGATATAAATCCATGCCATTACTTTTTTTTGATCGGGATCATTTCCGGTCCAATATGGGGATCATTTCCGGTCCGGGATCATTAGCGGTTCAATTTGGAGATCATTTGCGGTCCGGGATCATTTGCGGTCCTGGGATCATTTGCGGACCCGTACAGTACTGCAAACCATGTCGGTCGTGCAAGCCAAGCTTTTATATTCTTATTACTCGACGCAAAGGGTTACTCCGATTTTTTACGGTCTTTCCGGTAAACACTTGAACACCAGAGAAAATTTCTGGAATATTTATAGTTTCGCGACCAATCAGATGCGAGATGAAAGCGCAAAAGATAACTGCTAAACCCTCGCAGCAGGGATCAGTCACGGCTTTACACGAAACAACGAGCTGGCTTTTCCTTCTACGAGAAATCTTCAATTTCGCCGTTTTCAAATACTGAAATTGTTCTTTTAATTTTCTATTTCAGCTTATGTATTAGCAAATAAGAGATATGAACAATATTTTACGGAAAAGCGATGTTGAATCGAGCAGCCAGGATTAGACACAGCCAGACAGCGCGTCTGAGAGCAGAAATTGTACTCTCCTCTCCATTTCTATTTCGGTGTCTTCATTGTTGTGAATTATACGGGTAATTATTTCTTGTATTTAACTTTGTTCCAGTCCGAACAAAAATCAAAAAGAGCTTCACATAGTTTTCGCCTTACAATTGGGTGCCAGAACGAATGACATAACACCTAATACCTTTCATTACATGAGAATTCTTCGGCTCAAGATGTCACGCAAACCGTTAATCTATAAAAAAATTGGTCCTGTACAACCGTGACGATTCTCAAATTCCACGAGCTGATTTCCTCGGTTCGCAGATTTAATACCCTTTGGAAATTTCAAATTTTTATTCTTATATATTTCAAGGAGCTGCACTTTAGTTACAAAAAAAACTCGACGTAACGTTTTCGAAACCTGTGTTTACGTGCAGAAACATTCAGGCGGAGCTGTCAAAACTTGACATGTTCACGCTCTAAACGTTAATTGGTTCACTTAAAAAACGCGACAGTTTTTCTAGACAAACTTGAATGTTTTAATCTTTAATCTGTAATCTTTAATCATTATTTATACACGGTAGAAAAAATTACATAATAATGACTAAAAATCCAAATCCTAACATTATATTAACCTACATTAATATGTCACTTAAGAAAAATCCTGGTTTCCATGAATGCCGTGTTTAAACATTATGGTAGAGAAGGCTTTTAAATTTGTCTAATGAACCAGACTCTCTAATGTTACAGGGTAAGCTGTTCCAAAGGGTAGCGCCGCTGTAACTAAAACTATTTTTCATGTAGTTAGTTCTTGGAAAGGGCACAAGAAGTTTGTTTACCGAGTTCCTCAGAGAATAGCTTGATTCATTTCGCTTTATAAATTTAGACGTGAGATATTCCGAAACAAGACCGTTTAAAGACTTGAAAACCATTAAGGCATTCTGAATTTGACGTTGAGATTTCAAGTCTTTCCAGCTGAGTTTGTGAAATAAGGAATCGACATCCAGGTCATAGTTTGATGAAGTTATAACACGAGCAGCACGGTTCTGTAGTTTTTGTAGCTTTTTAGATAATGTTTTGCCACAATTACCCCAGACAAGGCTGCCGTAATCAAAGTGAGGTTGAACTAGTGAGTTGTAAATATTGAGTTGGGTGGATTGAGGCACAAATGGCTTAACTCGCTTTATGGCTCCAACAGCGGAAGCGATCTTTTTACACATTTTATCAATGTGGGAATGCCCCGTTAAATTTTCATCGATATGCATTCCAAGGGATTTCACAGAAAAAAAACTTGTTCAATCGGAACATTATCAATGGAAAGTTCGAGTGCATCAGATAAAGTACTTAATCTTTGCCTGGAGCCGATCAGCATAAATTCAGTTTTTGTAGCGTTCAAGGTAAGTCTGTTAGACACTAGTCATTTGCTTAGCTTTTCAAGGTCGTGAGATAGATTAGACTGGATCAAATTTAAATCAGAACCAGCATAAGTAATGTGGGTATCATCAGCATATATTCTAGGTACGCTGAACGATAAACAGTTAGGCAAATCGTTAATATAAACTAGAAATAAAAGAGGACCAAAGATCGTTCCCTGTGGCACACCACATTTAAGAGTGGTGAAGTCAGAGAGATAACCGTTAACTGAGCACCGT